CTTGCCACAACGAGCCAATGGGCTTAGATCAGTGATCTCACACTGACAATGACGTCGGACTGACAGATTTTTATCGAGGGGGACTAGAACCGAGCGTTACATGCAGCTAATGCTACAGCTAACAGGAGGACGTAGGAGAAGCCGCGTTTCCACGGACTTTTAATTTTTGCACATAGATGTGCCCAAACATGCACAGGACACTTGGAAAACACACGAAAGGGCATATAAAACCAGAAAAAGCATAATATGGGACCTTTAATGTGTCTAAGTTAGAGCTCAACATGTTTGAAGAGATAAAAAATGTAGTTTGAGGGACGGGAATGCTATCTGCCTTTGTCCAACTAAAAAAGGTAGTTTCCACATATGCACTCCTCCATCTAGATAAATATCTAGAAAAAAATTCAGGAAGACTGCTCCGGAGATTCTCCCGATCTGGCTGTTCACATATGAACCTCACAGCGGGAGACTATTCCTGTCAGACAGGAGGGGGAGTCCGCTACACGACGCTAGAATGAGAATATTTGCCTTTACATCAATGCTATGTGTTCAATGGAATGACAACACCAACAAAAGAGCAGAGAACAACATACTGGAGAACAGAAACATAATGCAGCCGTTAAATAACGTGCATGGAGATCGTAGCGGTGGCAGCAGTCACAGTATATAAACCTCACTCGCCTCTCCAATTGGCTCGAGGTGAATTCTCCTGATTATATCCTGCTGTGTTCTCACATCAGCTCACTCGGAATTTCTGCGGAAAAAATACTCCGGGTCTGGCAGGAGAAACTCCAGGTGAAGTCCGAGCCAAAAAGTCAGCTGTTTGCGTTCACATATGCAGCGCCTCCTGGAAATAGCTGGAGTTTTTCAGGAGTTTTCTGCAAGTGTGAAAGCACTATGCAAAGATTAAAATCCTCACTCTGTGCACGGATGTCATCCTGGCTTTTCTACCTCTGTCCACAATAATAGACATGAACAGCCTAAATGTGGTCTGAAATGAATGTTTACTTGCAAGACAGTTGAAAAAAATTATCACATGATTTAAAATATAATAATTACAGCAATAAGCCGTGAGTGTTTGAAGAGTTTTGTGAAGTCAAAGTAGGACCACGAGCCAAAAAAGGTTGTGAACCATTGCATCAGAGTCTAGTCTTCTGCAGAAAGGAGTTCACCCCAGTGTTTGTTCTGGTTCAGGTTAGGACTGTAATGAAAGAGACAGCGGGTCCAGGTCCTCAACGACAATTCACAAGGGCACTCACATTGTCCAAGTTAGAGCTGAAGATGTACAGACGATAAATAACTCTGTGAGACGAGGTCGCCTCGTGAACAGCATGAGAAAGGTTGATGAAAAATATATAGAAAAGAAAAATCTGTTTGAATCATTGTGACTAATCAAACAAAAATCACTGCTTCGAGACATGCTGCTGCTTGATGTTTGAATAAAATTCTGTTTTCACCTTTTGACTTTGTCTGATTATCCATTTTATGTATTCATCGAAAAGAAAAAGAAAAGGCAAAGGGTTAAGCGTAAAGAAAAGCTTCCATAATGAAAATTGTGAACACGAGATTACTTTTTATTATTCTCGTTTGCCGCAAGACAAACTCCCCGAGCTCTTACATGGGGGTTTAGCAGACTAAGAAAGCATTAGAGTGTAGCCTCGAGCAGGAAGAATTAAACCCCACCGGTGCTTTGGCTACAACAGCTGAACTTTACGTATCACTCGTTCATGTAGATTGCGTAATCACACGGCTGCACTTATTTACGCTTTTTAATAAGGCACTAAAGCCTCAGAGGAAATATCTTCACTGAAGGGACTGGTAGACCCCGTGAAGTCTGAATAAATAACGCCCAGTGGGCTGTTAGGGTATACATGAAATGGTTACCTGTGCATGTGGGCTGACTGAGCTAATGTGCACATATTAGAGGTGAAAATGCCGTGCGAGAAATATCCCTTCAGATGAGATTTTCAGAGCAGAAGCTATCCGCGGTATATAACTTATTTTTTTAAATCTAACTTCCTCCACTTCTCTCACATTCATTGAGACATGTCATCCATCTATCTGGGCCTCCGGCTGCAGTAGTTCCTCGACCATGAGTGGCTGCTGCAGCGGGGCTGTATTTCAGCATGTTGAAGTGCATGGAGAATTCCCATGAAGGGTAAGGGATTATGGATTTTGGCCTCTAAGCTGCCTGGATGCCCAGTGAGGATGTCTCTGAGCGTAGTAATCTTCAAACAGCACGCAGAGTGATGAGTGGGCACTGAGGAGTTCTACTCAGGATCTAAATGTGTTCCAGCAAGTTACTGGAGAGAGAGAGAGAGAGAGAGGGCGCGAGAGAGAGAGAGAGAGAGAGAGAAAGAGAGAGAGAGAAAACACCATTTGGTGCAGAAATGGAAAGGATCGACTCAGTGGCTCCTCCAGGCAAGAGACACTTTTGATCCTGTGACCTGTTTTGAGCTATAGTCTGTGTCGAAAACTCGCGCCGAGCAAGGGATCAAATCGGAGTGGTGCAAATGTAAATGTCATGGTTCCCCATCAGCACACATTACTGCTGATGGAAAAAGTCAATTGAGCAATATTTGGGGTCGGGTCGGGTGCTCTCTGGGGGGTGGGTGGGTGGGTGGGGGTTGGGGGGCGCCTGCAAACGTTCATAATGAGGGCACGCTCAAGACGGGTTTAGACTGTGTCCCAGAAAACAGGATGACATGTGTCGGTCAGCTGGCGTGCACATGAAGACAGCAGAATACGACAGAAGTGAGTCTCAAATAAGACGAGAATCTCCAGAATGAGCACACGAGTCGGAATCAGGAAATGTCAGAGAAAATCACTAACGGGCTCCCCGATCAATATGGGACGGGGAATTTCTCAGACTGATTGAATTAAACCCCCGAACAGCCTGATCGTCCTCTTGTCTTACTCTGAAATTAAGTGCTTCTATACTATCTCCTACCTGAGATAAGGTGGGTAAGTGCAGGAGGAGGATCAGATGGGGTGAAGGACACTGGTCGTTATGGAGATCATATCCTCTCCTTAAGATGTAACAAAAGCCTCGAGTGATGTCAGAGGTCAGGGTTTTGGAAGGGCGCCGAAGCATGCAGAGAAGTCCCTTCGGGAAATCAGGCGTATTCATGACTATAAAGATGCAAAATAACCTCGTAAACACAACATGGGTTGTTCCCATACAGCAGACAGGATGAAAAGGTGCTGTTTATGTGCAGAGAGTGACCTCAGGGCGATCAAGGATCAAAAGGTGCTACGATCCTTTTGGTGCAAATTCAATCTGCATAGCAGTAGATGAAACACTTTATCCAAATATAAATCCATGATTTACTGGTTAAATGTTGGTCTGTGTGCTGATCTGTAACATTGTCTGAGCGGTATGCTGCTCACACACACACCCCGAGAGTGTGCAGCACAAATACTGTCCAAGGCTGCAAACGGGTACATCAATTTAGAGCATGACAAGAAATTCCCTTTAGGTGACAACGAAATGTACATGCTATTAGATCAGCTGCGCTATAGTGTGATGAAATAAATTGAAGCCAACAGATGAAAGCTCGGGGGCCCCAAAAGCAGGAGAAGGAGGACTACGAGACGGTGCAACGGCCTTCTTTTATGTTACACTGCCATCATTTGGACAAACGCAGAACTGAACAGTGGAGGAGGTGCAGAGAGAGACTGTAGAGAGGAAGCAAACCTTCAACACTTCATTTAATATCGTCAGTGATTAAGGGACTAATCAGATCTTTCTTTGTCATGTAAATAACCAATATGTGAAAAAATACTTTTTCCCAAGTGAACACACTGAACAGTAACTCTGAATCTGGCTTCACATGAGACGATTTCTCTTCTTCAGCTTAACTGATTTTAAAAAAACGTGTGAGAACACGGACATGAGGACCGTTTCAACCTAGAATGGAGCCACGCCCTTGATCGTATTGGGTGTTGTTGGGGGGCAAAATCAGTCCTTAAATCGTCTCAGTAACCTGACAAGGGATATTGTAGTTACATCAGTTGCGACGGCAGTTAGAGTTGAACTTATACGTCTGACCTCAGCGATCAAAGGCTCCTGATTTCTCTGCCCGGCGGCCCTCAAGCTGTGGGTTCTGTTTTCTAGCGACACAGCTACTCGTTGCACTTTTAAAATACTTTGACATATCACAAAGTTGTGGCACTTACAGCGAATAAGAGGTTATATAACTGCAGAGAAAAGGTGGGAATAAAATGTGTAAATAACAAAGTTTTAGGGTTATTAATAAACTGGTGCTAAGTTACTGTGCAGCCATCTTGATTGACACCCATGAGACTTCTCGACGAGGGATGTTGTTCAATGTGAAGACTGCTATTGGGTTAAAAGCAGCAAAGAAAGCATTCAACAGGAAATGTTTGCAAATAGGAGCCTCCTATTTTTAGACACAGGCTGGAAAATGTACACATAATGCAATATTATAAATGAATATCCTCAAGTTGGAAGCAGTGTCCTATTTGATGTTGTATAGAGAACATATTCTGTTCATTAAATTATCTTTAATCAGTGTATGGATTTTCCTAGAAATCATTTTATTGGTTTGTTGTGATGCAACTTTTTTTCAACGACATTTGCCACGTACCCCCATTTGAGAAACACTCCTTTAGATGATATTTCCAAAACTATGAACCCCAATAACATTAACTGTATGTTTATTTGTTTAATTGTTTTTGCAAATTAAAAAATAATATAACAAAAAATGAATCTTATCTTGACTTTTCTGTCCATCCAGTTAATTGATTAATTAACTTTATCTCTTTCGCTGTTCTGACATGAACCGCTGGGTGGTTTGATTCACACTAAGAACAAATTAAAAGGTCCTTTTTGTTATTTCGCATGCAAACATATTTGATTGAAAAGTATTAAGTGATTACTACGGAGCCCCTGAAGTCCCAAAAAGTGCGCACAAGATTTTTTTTCATTTTACTTTTTGGCACTTCAGGGGCTCCGTAGATTTCAGATAAATAAATATAGATTTTTATTTATAAAGCGCTTTACATCAACGAGACAATAAGTGCTTGTTGACTCTACATAAATGTTTGCACGAGACAAACACTTGAGCGTGACGTGCGGGGGGAGCGCGCCCTGCATGACGTCATTGTTTCGTGCAGCAGACTGAATGAGCAGCTGTGTGTACACTTCAGTACAGCAGGGCCTGCGCAACGCACAGCGCTGACAAGGAATCTATGAGGAGGATTTTTCTACATGTTATCAACACGGAGAGGTACGTGTGGGACTTATTCTTTTATTCTCTCGATTATTTGCTGATATCTGTGCGAAGATGAAGATGAAGAAGGAGGAGGAGGAGGAGGAGGAGGAGGAGGAGAGGCTGCTTCTGATGTGCATGAGTCAGGCGGTGTGTTTATTCTGGTGCGGTGCGGATGTATGGTTGTCATATTTATACACGGCTGCTGTTTATTCCCTGCAGAAAATGTACAAAATGATCCGTCTTTGTGAATAAATGTTTATCGCATCGCGTCATCACAGTGAGTCGAATCGTGACGCGCGAGCTGCACGTAAATTACTCATTATTTATTCATTTCCTCCCCGCCGCCGATGGACAGCATGAGATGGAACTAACGAGCAGGGGAAATAAAAGGATTTGCAGCTGAGGTTTCTGTGGTGATTTGCTGCTGCTGGGGGATGACTGAACAAAAAAGGGAAGAGGAGGAGTAGAAACAGTCACAAGACCTCAGTTACACCTTATGCACCTTATGCTTACATATGAATGTAAGGGTGCAGTGGCGATTCAAGAGTCTGCTGGGGCCCTCAGCAGAAATTAATTGGAGGGCCCTCCAGCCAGCGTTCATCACCATCACGCCTCCTGACGTTTAATCCTCTTTTTTTTTTACCTTTTATGTTTTTCTAGTGTTTTAACAGCATTCAACGCTTAGCAGGGCAACGACAGTGAGTGCTGTCAGATGGGGCCCCCTTAGGTAGGTTTTATGCTGTCGTTGTAAATGTGCACATTTTGAGCCGCTGCTGTACTGGAGTTTAAAGTTTGTCAGCCCTTATGGGACCCTTGTTGTTCTGGGGCCCCAAGCAGTTGCCGGTCATCACACTTTTATATGCACCAGATGTCGGCCTTGAGCTTGTTTGGCGTTTTCTCGTCTTCTGATTACTCAAAGCGCTTTTACTCCGCAGGTCACACCTACACATTCACACACTGATGACAGAGGCTGCTGTGTAAAGAGTCCATCAGCCATCCGTCCTAACACATTTATGTCTTCATTTTAATCTGCAAACTTTTGATTATGTATGGAAATTTAATGCAACCGTAAGAAGGGAGATTTACAGTACTTTAGTGTGTCAGATCATCATATGTGTACATCATTATGTAGTCTGTAGGGATGTGAATCGCAGGGTAACTCATGATTGGTGATACGATACATGGACCACCTTAACGAGAATATCACGATACAGCAATTTTCTGATAATTGTTACGCCGCAAAACAATCAGAAAAATATAAAGAGAGAAATATCTGATGAACTGTTTGAAACAAAACGACCCCTAAAAGTCAAAGTGCAGGACTCAGCAGTATTGGTGTCAGTTTCATGTCTTTACTTCTTTTCAGCGGTCTGTTGACTTACTGTACGTCCGTACATGTTTCCCTCGTTCGTGTCATTAAGGCCACCTTGAGGAGTCGTTAAGTAGTGGAGCGGTGAGTCAAAATGGAAGAGCAAATCTGTTCCAACAAACGGCACCAGCAATTTGATGAATCTATCGCACCAGCAGGACGACGATCTTTTTGCCACCCCTGTAATCCAGTCGTGCACATTTGTTAACACAGAGAAGGAAAATAATAAAACTGCTGAATTTTATCTTTCTAAACATCTTTAAAAATGTCTCCAAATAAAGTTAAACAACCGTATCCGAGCCCTCAGATGTTTTCAAAGTTTCTACAAAGTCGCTCTGCTTTCTCCTCAGGTAATCGTGAAACATGGAGGGAGGACATTTGTGAGTACAGCTCTTTGTTTACGCTCAGTTTCACACCTGTCATGGAGTTCTTCTCAGAGTTTATAAACTATGTTTTTTTTCCGCTGAAAGAGCCACAACATTAATCCAACTCCTTGTGTCACTGCAGCGGCTACTCCCGGGATTATCTCGACCGCTTCATCCAGAGCCAGGACTCGTCCGTGGTGAACAAGTTCCAGCAGAAATACTGGAAAACCAAACAGACGCTCATCAAGGTGACCGGGAAGAAAGAGGACGAACATGTGGTGGCGTCAGATGCCGACCTGGACGGCAAGTTGGAGGTGAGGGAGGGAGAGTTTCAAAAGCAGGAGAGTCGGGTCAGGTTACTTTAGGATTCAGTCACAGTGCAGAGACGTTAACAAACACTGGGGATACTTTGGCCCCGGGTGGACTCTGCAGAGACTTAAATGGCTTTTTGATTCACACGGTGACAGTATTCGCTCCAGGCTTAAATCTTACATTAAGCTGCCTCTCCAGCTCGCATCCTCTACGCCCTCCATTTCAGGAGGGAAGTGAGAGTAACGGCTGAAATCGATACCTCATATGGGCTGAAATATCCAACCTTTATTTAAGTCACGTCTTTGTTAAGAAACCATTTCAGAACTGGATATCTACATGATAAATCAAAGCTCAATTTAAAGCTGTGATGTGACATTTTAAACGTCTACTTTTGGAATCAAACGGCTCCCATGTCTTAGTGTCCTGGTCTCAAGACCGCTTTTTGGAGGTCTCGGTCTCGTCTCTGCCTGGAAAGCATTTTTACTCAGTCTTGTCAAGTCGGACTCCAAATTTTAAATCAAGACCACCTCTGATTAAGGATGTTTTTCCACATTATTAATTTTGATTAAAAGGAAAATGCCTCTTTCTTAAACACTGAATAACTTCAGTTCATTTGTAGTTTTTTATCCCCCGGTTAGGACCGTAACTTTCCGGTGTTACGGTCTAAGTGAGTGACACGCCCGCTGCACACAAGATGATGATTTTTCAAAGATATTTATGATCTTTGTCTTGACTTGGTCTCGATCCCTAAATGTCTTGGTCTTGTCTCGGTCTCGGAGCACTCTGGTCTCGGTTAGTGCGGTGACAACCTCCGGTCTTGAAAAATGAAGGCAGTGCAGAAGTGCAAAATCCTGCAGTTAGTCAAGTGTCCACTTGAGGCTGGCTCCAGGAACACAGGAAGTCACACACCACAGCCAAAAAAAGCACAGACAAACATGTTTACAGCCTGCTACAAAAAAACAAATAGTTCTGATAGTTATTGTCATCACTGGCTCACACTGATTATATTATGATTTTCTTGCTCCGCAGGTCTTCCACTCCATCCAGAGGACATGCATGGAGCTGCTAAAGGTCATCGAGCAGTACCAGAGGAGGATCTGCTGTGAGTCCGATAAACAGCTCAGTATTGATAAAACCTTGAAATGAAGATTAAAATACGACCTGTTCAAAGAGTGGGTTCGCAGAGTTTGGTGTGATTCAGAGGGGAGAGTTAATATTTTGATAATTTAAAAGCGTACCTTTATTAATAAGAAATGGCTCATCCATCTCAGATCTTAAAGCGTAAAATTGTGTCTTCTTTCCCCGTCTGCAGTTCTGTCCCAAGAGGAGAACGAGTTGGGTCGTTTTCTGCGCTCACAGGGCTCGCAGGACAAAACCAGGGCGGGAAAGATCATGCAGGCAACTGGGAAAGCGCTCTGCTTCTCCTCTCAACAGAGGTGAGCATCAAACATGAACACATCAGTCAGTGTTTGAGAGATTTATGCTAAATCCTCATGAAACAGCCACACAGGTAACATGAAAAGTAACAGCTGCATTGGGGCAGAGTAGCTTGGAGGGTTAAAGTCCCTATAACTAAAACGCATTTAAAGGTGATTCAAAACTGAAGACTGCGCTGAATGCACTGGATCTTAAAACTGATTTTCATCAACCTCTTTTTAAAACTATTCTGGATGGATGTGTGTGTTTGTGTGTGCACAGAACATTTTGTGTGTAATGACATATCGAGCACTTAGATAAACTAATGCACGTCGGGCTGTATCTTAATCCTTGATCTGATTCCTCCTCCTGCAGAATGGCTCTGAGGAACCCTCTGTGCCGTTTGTACCAGGAGGTCGAAACGTTTCGCTATCGAGCGATCTCAGACACGTGGCTGACGGTGAACCGAATGGAGCAGTCCAGGACCGAGTATCGAGGAGCGCTGCTCTGGATGAAGGACGTGTCTCAGGAGCTCGATCCAGACACTCAAAAACAGATGGAAAAGTTCCGCAAGGTTTGTCTTTGCAGAGAGAGCTGCAGAAATATTTGACATGGCATTACGGATGGAAGTAAAAATATATGTCACTTAGTTTGGCATGTTCCAGAGCTCTGACATGCACACAAAAAGGTTAATTTCACCATTGTATTTACCTCAACACAAACTGCTCAGATCAGTCAAATCAAACAAGTAACAGTGTAAGGCCACTAGAGGGCGTAGTGCACCATCAGACGGCCTCTCCTCTGGTTCACTCTGAGCTGTGACTTGGACTCCAGTGTTTGTTTTCATTGTTGAAACCTGTGCGATAGGACACACTGGCTTGTTTGCTTTCAGTTGGAACATTTTCTTATCTGTTATCTCCCAGGTTCAAGCCCAGGTGCGCACAACCAAAACAAGCTTTGACAAACTGAAGAATGATGTGTGCCAGAAAGTCGACCTGCTGGGAGCGAGTCGCTGCAACCTCCTCTCTCACGTTTTAACCACATACCAGGTAGACCACGAGTCCAGGTTGTTTGCATTCACTCCAATGAGCTCAGTAAAAGGTGCATGGGGGGGAGGTGTTTCAATGAATCGACCTTGTGAAGCAGGAAGACAAACATGGGGAGAATGCAAAAGGGGGTAGATATAAGCACATCACAAAGGTGCAAGGCAGTGGAAAAACAGCAGGCTGAGGAAGAACTTGCCACAAAAAAAGTTTTTATTCTATCACAATAGCAACATTTAGACGTCTTCTTCTGGTGGTATTTCTTGTTCTGTCCTTACATCCATACAATGCACGCTTTTTTAATGGTTATTAGTATCAAAAAAGGTCTGTAACTTTAGAAAAAAACTCCAGATTTTCCATCATATTTTTAACAAAAAAAAAGCAGCAGTGGTCCATTCAAATTCACAGGTCAGCAAATACGTACGTTTCTCAAGTCCTTTAGGTGTTAAAGCTGTGTTGATGTCTCTTACAAACAGAGACAGTGGAGAATACATGACTGAAACATTGCCAGACAATGTGCAGGACGTAAACTGCAATTGTTGGTGATTAAAAACAAGAAATGACCCACTACCGGGGGCCCAGGAGTTCTATTTTTGTTTAGTAAGTTTGTTTAGTATAGTTCAGTAAAAAACAAGACACTGTGCAGACTGCAGAGATTTAAAAATATATTTTTTTAAATACACTTCACCATGTTTCTCTAACTTTAATATATGTCTCTAGTCTGTCTACAAACCCCCCAATGATGAGAAAAGTCCATCCTCTCCGTCTTTAGCCTGCTCCACTTTTCAGAAAATGTGTGCTCAAACAGGTCGTTTGGAGATTTTTCCTTCATGACATCACAAAGGGAAGTAACCCCTCCCCCAGGTGGGTGACACTCCCACAGCTAGGTGTTTGTTCTGCCCTCGAGTCTGCCTTCTCATCATAAACAACAGGTCATGGAGCAAGAAAGCCAGAGTACACCCAAGCCCTTCCAGAGAGGGGGCGTGGTCAGAGACAGCTCATTTACATTTAAAGGTACAGACACAGAAACAGCCTGTTCTGAGCAGGGCTGAAATAGAGGGGTTTATAGACGTGATCAAATACAGGATCAGAGTGGATTCAGAACAAGAAACTTCACAGACATGTTTTGAGGAGCTCTGAGACTTATTTAAACTGGTTGAAGAGGAGGAGAATATGTCACCTTTAAATGACAACACAAGAAGATACTAACTCAACACATGGGAAATAAATGATGAGTGAAAACACAACAAGCTGAATGTGTCTTTTGGCTTTTCCTGCTTTTTCAGACGACTCTTCTGCACTTCTGGGAGAAGACGTCTCACACCATGGCAGCCATTCATGAGAGCTTCAAGGGCTGTCAGCATTATGAGATCTCCTCACTAAAGGTCAGTGTATTTATCTGTACAGATTATTTAACGCTATAAACAGACAAATGTCTACATCAGGAGAATCATCTATTCATTGCAATCAGATACTTTATTCTTCTTTCAGACATTAAGAGACCCCGTGGAGAAGCTAGCTAAGAAGAAAGGGAAGAAGAAATTTAAAGTGGAGAAAGAAGACGCAGAGAAAGCTGAGACCACAGACAACCAGTGAGTTATCTCATCTTTTCTCATGCAGGTAGACAAAACACATGCATGCCAGCACTGACACTGAACTGGATTTGACTGAACATAAATTAAGTTTTTCTACACGCTCGCTGCTCCAAGCATGCAGGAGATGTTTTAAACTGATGTTCTCTATTTCTCCATATTTAAAGACTCATTTCACTGAACGAAAACACCAGCGATAAGACCCAAGAAGGTAAGAGATAAGGCTGCTATGTTTGTACAGCATTTAATATGTGACGTAAATGTAGTTTTTTTCACTGCAGCTGGGTTTATTTTTGTTCCGCTCATGGTAACATTCAAATGTTTCTATTGAAAAGAAAACAAAATTCACACTCTTAACACATTCAACATCTGGAAAGCAGCTGGAGAAGAAACCTCTAATTTTGCCGGCCCAATACGCAAAACACACAAGAGATCTGTAAGAATGGATACGACAAAACTCCTCACAGGAGCCTTAAAAAAAAGCCTCCATGTACTAAATCAAGGAAATGCTAAATAACCTCAAACAGCTTGTTAAAAAATGTAACACTTCTTGGTAAAATGTTGTCCCATATACAAATAAGGGACCAAATGAAATGTTAAATATGAGGTATTTTAGTGTATCGTTATATAAATATGCATTATTGATCATTCAGGGGATGCAGACTCCTTCTCTAACTATCCAGACCTGGAGGGAGAGGAGAAGGACAGCATGGCCTTACTGAATGAGATCCTGGGCAGCATGTCTGTGGACGAGGGCGACTTCTCTCGAGAGTGGACCGAAGTTTTCGGAGACAACGAGGAAGGAACGAGCGCAGCGTCGGGTGGACGAGTAGACGCCGAGCAAAGGGAAGAGTCCTTCTTTCTACCATCTCAGCTGTGGGACCAGAGCTTGAATAATCCGCAGTCTTCCATGTCAGGTATGAAAATGATTGCGTTGTCTGTGTTTGTGCGTTTGTGCTTGTGTAAACCAGAGAAGGGTTACGGTCTTTAGCTCTTTAGCCGTTTTTTGTTGGTTTATTGAAATAATTTGAGGTTTCTATCTGTAGGAAGAGCATCCTTTTTGGGAAAACCCTATTAATCATCTCAATTTAACCATTATTACACTAACTTAAAGATCCCATATTATCCTCATTTTCACCTGTTTCATTACCCTCCAAAAAGATCCCGACAGCAGCTTAAAAACTACAAAGTAAGTTCTATTCTTTTCCATGAATGATACGATTTTCTGCTTTCCTGCTTTTCTGCCATTTCCTCACAGGGAGAAAAAAGCTTTTAGATGAATTCTCAAACCCTCGTCTGTCAAAGTAATAGAAGGAGGCCATTATAACACGGCAATTAGATTTTCTGATCCGTAGGTAATTGCCAACAACTTTCCATTTCATCCGGCCTCCAGCACCGGCTGCTGACATCTCGTCTGATTTTTCTTGATTTGGTTTTGTCTGTTTCCAGCTTGGAGGGTTGTGAGGACGGTAACCCCATTTAAAAAAAGCTTTAAAGAAATAAAACCTGAAGTAGACGAGTAAAATAACGAGGCTAACTTTTTAGTTTAGTGTAACAACATGTCTGACACTATTCAGAACTGCATGGTGCAACGGTGATATTCCTGTAATCCCATTTTCATGATCAGTAAGGCCCTGTGTCCACCTAGCGTTTTTTTTTTCTGAGCGCCAGTGTCCTTTTTCAATGAGTAGAACACGTTCACACAGAAATCGGACGCCTGGACAAAAAGTGCAGCAACCAGCGTTTTTGCCATTCTTGTGCATCCGCTCCAAGTTGAAAATCGTTCAACTTTTCAGAAAGCCGCTGTTGACGTCACCGGCGCTCTTTTCCAAATGTACGATGATCCCCAAAGTTTTGCCGCCTACGAATCGTGTCTTGTACCCACATCCTCTTTGCTCCGCGTCTGCTCGGGTAAAAATTATCTTAAAAAAAGTTAAAAGTAACAGAGCAGTGTCGGTCATACAGCAACCGTTGTCAACAGACTGTTGTCATAGAGACAGGAGAGACATGCAGTGCTTTTCTTCTCAGCGCACAAACACTTCATGCAAGCGCTCCCGAGCGCACAGCCAGCACTTTTCTGAAAAACGCGAGGTGGACGCGGGGCCTTAAGGGTAGTGCTAGAATAGAAGAAGGTCTGGATAATTTTCCAGGTTGAGGAAAGCGTCATATGAACCACAGGATGGTGATTGTTTAGCAAGGTAGGCTGAAGGTCCAGCTGGTCAACAAAGCAAACAAAGCAAAGCAGAAACAGCCCCAGGATCAGTCAAGAACACAAACAAGTAAAGAAGCATTTAAAGCTTTAACTAATTCAGCTGTAATCATTTTACATGTGAAGACAGGAGAGCACACAGGCAGGGACTGACTTGTAAGAGCAATAAAAAAAGAAATCTTTGACAGCATGTCACAATAAAGCAGCACGCAAGATACCAGGCACATGCTTCAAACTCATTTAACACTTGTTAATTTTCCTCTTTGCCCTAACGTGTCTCGCACTAAAGGATTTAGACTCAACTTCACATTGTTGTCAATAACTATCACATCATAAAAAAAGAGGAAAATTTAGAGCCTTGCAAACTTCCAAGGGCTTTCCATGATATCTGGGTCATTGTGCAGGAAGAAGCTTGTTCCTGAGGTCAATCTAGATAACTGAAGAAGCAGAAGTTTGAGGGCTGTTTCAAACATATTGCAGGAAGAAGAGCGTAGGTGTGGCATTTCCAGGATTTGGGTGGAATGGCCAAGAGAGGAAAAGAAGCCATTCCTGCAAGAAGCAGCACATGGCAGCAGAAATGTTTGACCTCCATTTGACCTGAAGATTAAAGCCCCAAAAACAGACAAATCCTGCAAATAAAACTGGTTCATAGAGTTCGAATAACTAGACAGATCTCGACTGAACAGTCCTTGGCTTGAGACCAAGAATGTGAAACAAAGCTTTGACAAATCTTCAAGGAAGAAAATCCCCAAAAATCCCTGTGAGTCAGGCACATTCAGATGCATCCAATAAGCTGCAATCACACTGTAACATTACAGTACTTATAAATTTACACAATTCTTAGAAGCATTTAGCCTCGTCATCGTGGTGAGAAGTGCTCGGAAGAATGTTTTATTCAACGTTTCTCCGTCTTCACGAGGACTATCGTGCATCTCAACAAGTCAAAAGGTAACGTAAGAGGAGGATGCGGGGGTTGAAATAGCAAAATGCACAAAAAGTCCAAAAGATTAAAAAAGGTTTGTTGGTGTTTGAAGCCTGCTGGACGGCTTGTGTTCGGAGCTTGTTTGGTGCTGAATATAACAACAACACATTCCAGTATCCTCCCCGGTGGCATAAAGTGTTGCAACATGGTAAAATGTGTTTTCTGAAAGCAAACTAAATGTGCCTTAACCAACAGCTCATGGTTGTACTTTCAGAAATCTGACTTGTATTTAAAAGCTTGTAATGTGTCCGATATGTGTTGTAAATGTTTTGATTGATGTTGTTTGTGCACTCATTGCACATAATCCGTCCACAACAGCAAAGCGATCAGCGAGGGAGTGTGATGATTTATTTGTTGAATCATCCTCTGGCACGTGAAAGCGTCCCCTGTTGATGAATCTAAATCTGCCTCTCTCTTGTTTTCAGATTGGGCTGGGATCAGTCCACAGCCCGTCGCCGAGGCAACCGAGCACTCATCTGGAGCCAATCAGAATCCTCCTAAGCAGACGGTGAAAGGTACGGGCCGGTCCAAGCGAGTAAAACATCAGAATAGGCTTGTGTCCAACCGAAACCTGTGTTTATGGGTACTTTGAAAAAAGAACTTGTGGGTTTGTTTCCATTCATACTTTGGACGTCAGCCAGATGCAAGGGGTGTTTCTATTTCCATTTCTTCAGTACATGTGCAGCCGTGTGTCTAAACCCCGAGTCCACCAAGCAGTCCGGTTTGGTTCAGTACAGTTTGGTACGGTAATCCCTGATCTTGCTTGCGTTTCCAAAGCCAACCGTACCTTACACGTCCCTAAATCACAGCGGCGGGACATCGTGTAGACAACAATAAACCCAACTTTTGAATGACGAAACCCCAATAAATGTGTTCCATACCGAACTCGACTGCTTGGTGCAAACGGGGCTGTAGTGACCTTTGTTAACTTTCATTTTACAGAGACGACAGCAGGGACATCCAAAGACCTCTCGGCGTGGTTCAACCTGTTTGCCGACCTGGACCCCCTCTCCAATCCTGACGCGGTGGGAAAAACTGACAGGGACCACGAGCTTCACAACGCGTAGTTCTTCCTCGGCGCCACAGTGATTACAAAATAGCGGCTACCGTTGTGAGCGGCAGCAGCAGAATAAAGCTGCTACCAGCGCAGGGAGAAAAATCACATGAGCAGCCAACACACAGTCGTCATGACTACAGAGTGAAATAATAAGACAAGTGATCAATCAGCCTCTCACTCATTTTAACTCCAGTGGTGGAAGAAGTACTCACATCTTTTACTTTAGTTCAGATTCGCAACGCCTCTGTGTAAAAAAGCTTGGTTACAAGTCAAAGCCGTGCATTTGAAGTCACACTTCACGAACAGTATTTATAATGCAGAATGGGATCTCAAGAATATCATTCACCTCAGTGTTTGATTACATTTACTAACGCTTTAATGAGCTCATCTCTTGAAAGCTGCAACTGTTAAAATCTGGGCTAATTGGAATTCATTTTATAACGCGAATTTGTTTAATTTCTTGAGTTTGTAGGGCTATAAAGTTTAATTTTATTGGAGTACGAGTTTGGAACAAAAAGCCCTTTGACATAAGCTGCCTTGGAAAATCAGTCCTCGTAGCATTCATGCTTTAAATTCTGACCTCCTTTACTTCTGATTTCAAACGGGTGAAACTTCTTTGTGAGATGCAAAGAGTGAAGAGAAAGCGATCAAGACAAAGATCACAGAGCAACGTGTTCAAGAAAGAAAGCAGAACATGTTGAACTCAGCTACAGAGAATTGTTAAATCAATTAAATGGCGCTTATTATTTCGCAATCCGTCAAACACTACACGGAGGCAAACCGAACAGAATTGTGAGGAAATATTAGTCATCAAATTTAAAAAGGTGAAGTGGATATTTTGTTGTTTTTGAGATTTGTTTGCTTCATGCTGTATTTCTATCCCTTTTTTGGAGTTAAAGGCAGGGTTGGTAACTTTTGAGCTGGCATGATTTTGAAAGTAGCATTCCCTCAGTGCTGTGTCTACACCCACCCCCTCCCCTCTGTGCTCCCTCAAAAGCCACACCCACTCACTTACATGCATGAGCGCAGACTTTGCTCCAGAAGTGGACCTCAGCTCATCTCTTGTATTGTTAAGAAACTACGTCGTCTCATGTCTCATTCTGCAGTAAGTAAACTCACAGTATAAACTCCGTCATCAGTGACGCCCTTTTGAGTCTGGGCTAGTGCACGCAAGAGGTAGAGAGCGAGCAGGGAGACAGGGAGGCGTCTGATTGGTTCATCAGATTGGTACCTCATGGCAGACATTGGTTGAAGTTTTTACAGGCTTACAACTGCTACAGATGATGGATTTTCTAAATTCCTTTCTCAGAGAACATGAGTTATTAATTTATGTCAGGACCTAAAGACAACTTCAACCAGAATCTTAAAAAGTGACTCTGGAGAAAATTACCAACCCTGCCTGCTGTGTTGATGCATGATGCATGCCTTGTTTTATGTCATCAGAGTGTGCTTGAATGGACAACATGTTTTTTTTTTTTATCAGTGTAATATTTTGCATCAAAGTTGTTGTTTTTTTATGCACATGTGTTTATTAAGCTCAGTTATTGGCTTCAATGGAAAACATTTAAATGACTGGTGTGTTATTCAGGTGTGATCTTCTCTATTAACCCTGTGAACACTCTGATATTGAGACATGCTGCACACACATGCACTAACAGGATCCTGTGGACATGCACTAATGGAGAGACATCAGAGTGAGGGGGCGGCCCTGAGTTGGTGGGGGATCGGTGCCTTGCTGAAGGCCCTGGCTGAGCTCAGGAAGTGAACTAGCACCTCTTCAGCCACCAGACCAACTTCCAGACTTGGTCCAAACCAGGCACTTGAACCGGTGACCCTCCGGTTCCCAACCCAAGACCCTACAGACTGACCTCCTGCCGCCCCTCGTAGCAAACTAACCGGACAGAGTTTAATGAAATCAGTCGTACTGATCTAAGTATGACTGCAACGCTGCAGAATCTGAAAGTATATTGAGTAAATGCCTTAATCAGATCTCACTTTAACAACATAGAACTTCATATTTGATTCCTTGTACAGTACATTACAACAGATTTCTTTTGTCATTCGGTTGCATCTCAAATGACTCATGTCTTACCTGTTAACGCCGTGTGACATCATCAGCAGTGATCATAACCAAACCCATGGACTGCCTTACTGTGACCTCCTGTTTGTGTGTAAATGCCATGCTTCATATCAATAACCGATGTTTCTGCCTTTGAAAAGATTACATACCAAAACAAACTGGTTTTTTTTCTGTTTTCTTTATTGAAAAACACACACACAAGATCTACATAAAAATGCGTAATACACAGGAGAACTGAATCATCAATGCCGAACATGGCAACCGTTTACTTATCCGCACTGCAAAATTGAGCTTGTGAATGAAATCAGTTTTAGTTTGATTGAAACTCCTGAAGCTGTAAGCAGAAAAAGTTGACTCATCTGAACTTTATTTGTGTGGAATGTGTTGCATATTGTTCATATTTATTTATTTTTTATTTTTTTTAAGTGTAAGTGGGTTTTAATGGAACAAAGTTTTTGGAATCAAACATTCACCAGATAACCGAATCAGTCGTTTGGTTCTGTTCTGGTCGTGTTTGGACATATCTGATATCGGATCTGTGTTACACAAACATCGTTAGTGTAGCTTTACTTCAAAACAAAATCGATTGCACTCTTTAAGTTCTGATTGTTTTAGAAATTGGTCAAAAAGGTGATTATCATCTCATTTCCACGTTAAGTGCTCCGTTGTTGGTTTTAGGATCATCCCCTCCCCCCCGTGTTAGAAACCAGTGTTTACATGTTGCGTTGTTTAAAAACAAAACATCACATCAAGTGCACATCAACTTCCTGCTTCTGCCGCCAAAACAAGAGGCCTCCTTGGTCCCTGATATATGACAGTCGTTTCATCATCATCATGTACTTTGGTTCATATTTAACGAAAGCGGGATGTGGCGGGGAAGAAATTACACATTTGTCAACTTCTGAATTCAGGCGGGTGTAGCTTATGTAGCTAGTTGTATTTACTTGAGTTTTTTCGCATCTGACTGATGCAACAGTGATCTGTGGAATGTTTCAAAGCACCTGAAACTCTAACCTGAACAGGTTAATTCATAAAGTCGTCCGTGTCACGAGCTGTGACATCAATCAATCGATTCAGTTCGTTATAACGCCACTCTGCAGGGGGCGGAGGGAGGGGGATACAACTGTTCTGCAAAAGACTGGAATGTCTTCCTGGAGAAAGGAAGTCAAACACTCTGAAAGGCAACATCGTCCGAGCAAGTACATTCCACTTCACCTGAGTTACTGTTCTGTGTAACGAGGGGCGTAAAACAAGGTTATTGGGGGGGGGGTTGGTTATTTGGTCACTGAGGAGAAAATAAAACAGCTGATATGTTGTGTCGAGCTAACCAAGTTTTTTAAAAAGTGACCAGACTAAGAATGCAGATCTCACATCTTGGCTTGTATGCCTATCAGGGGTGTAGCCTGCACTGAAGCAGCCGCTGGTTTCACCTAAGACAACTGTGCTACAAACACTATCAAATAAACAAACAGAAAATAGGCCATGGCTTGTATCATTCTAAGCCAGGTCTTAACAAGTGCAAACATTGTGGTTAATGTGGGGCGATGTACTGTGACTGTAAGACATCCTGATATGGTAAAAATATGAAACTAATCACTTTCCCATCCTGTCAAAAAAAGCTTATGTATACATACTAAAGTTGTTAGCTCGCTGAACACTGAACAGCTAAGAAGCTGGTTAGATTACATGAGTAGAATATGTTTCTCCGACAACCTCAGTGTTGTCTCTTTTGAAAGTTTAGGTTTCCTTTTTCATTGTTTCTTGATTAAACTGCAGGCACTATGTAACACAATATTTGGAGCTGTATTCTCTTTTTTGCAAAAATAAGCAAAGCTATTTCTTGTTAAGGGTTCTTGTCGGGGTTCAGAGGAGAAGGCTAAGTTAGTTGTGGGTAAAGGGGAAGCTGTGCCCAAGGTCAGCTCACTCTCTTAAGTCTGGTTGACAGCTACAAAACCATCAAGCTTTCTTGAGTTCACGCAGAGTGGAAGAAAACACTGACCGAGCGAAAGTGCTGGTTTGTTTGTCTTTTTTTTTTTTTTTTTTAAACCTTGGGCACTCCCTGCTGGCTGACATTAGGATTAACGGAGTGCAAGGACTATTTTTTGCAGTTTTTCTTTTTTTTTTTCTCTTTTCTCTTTGTTTTAAGACCAAACCACCTGAGGTTGTTTGAGCTGCAGGCGGTTTGCTCATGAATACCTGAGGACTAGCTGGTGAGGAGTACTTGTGCGGAGCCGTCTTTCCCCATGTCTGTGTCGGGACTCTGGCTGTCTGTGCTGTTGTTTGTGTTTACGCCTGTGCTTGTTTCGGTGCTCCAGTCAGCGGAGGCCGGAAAGGTAGCTAGTGGTGCAGTGGGTTGAGTTGGGGTCACCTGAGGCCCAGGGCTGTCATTGCCATGGAGACCAGAGTTGGCGGAGGAGCAGGACAATGGAGAGACGGGGGAGAAGAGGGAGGAGCAGAGGAGTTTGACGGGGCAGAAGGCAGAGCCCCTGGGAATGAAGTTCACCTTGTTTTTATCGGGGCACGAGAAGAGGGGGAAGCCTTTTGATTTGCCAGACCTGAAAACAAAAGAAGAGCTCAGTATTTTTTTTTTATTTGTGTGACTATTGGATAAACAACATGTTTTTACTCCAAACAAAACCGTTGCGCACTCATCTCTGCCACCCACAATGCAAATAAGCGAAACAGCCGTGATGCTTTATCATCTAGCAGGTCAGAAAACAGAAAGAAGAACCTATCGTTTTTATCTTTTAATTCTTTCTACACACAAAATAAAACAGGACTGACCGATGGGGATGGATTAGAAAAGAGGAATAGATCATCATGAAAACTGTTCTCTAATTTGATTAATATATTAATGAAAATCTAAAGTAAAACAAAGATAAAACTTACACCAGCTCCTCAAACACTTTGACCTTCTCGCAGCCCTCGGGAGGCTCCCGTTTGAACATGTAGCTGTTGTTAGGTTTTGGAGAAGTGGCGAACTTTGGGAGAGGAGAACTGCACACACCGTCTGGAAATACATTAAAGAAAGGAACATCAGAAGAAGATAACATTTTCACATTGCTTCTGAGAAAAAAAAAATACTCAAGTTGGTGTGGGTATGTATTTCCTGCGTGTCTTTACTGAAATAAGATCTAACTTATAATAAAGAACACTGCTTCTTAAAATAGTAAAAACTTGTGATCCAAATAACAAATTAGATGCCAGCTAGCATAACGAAACTGAAACATGTGCTGGCTGTAGTTGTTCATACTGGCGTCTGTCAATAGTTTGATGACCGTAGAACAATCACATCAACTTAAATCAAAGATCACTCCAGACCCACGCAAGAAGCAATCAGCAAATTAAAGCGAAGGTTGTCTCAACACCCAAATTTTAATTTTTGATACAATACTAGTGAAAATTAAATGATATTGATGCATGTTTTGATAACATGACACAAGAGCAAACTCCTGCCCACTGCACAAATTTTTGATAGGAACTGTTGGGTACCCACATACTGACTGAGAAAGAGCGTGTTAATTTTTATGTATTGGACAGTTAAAGATCAAATTGATACAGCTGATCCAAATATATTTTCCTTTGACCCTTGTATTCTTCTTCCTTGTCAAACCCAGCCAACTACATCCCCCACAATGCAACTGGACAGCTGACAGTTCAGTCAGAGCTGGCTCTCCTGACACAGCTTGAAACAATTTCGCTTTAAAAAGGACATCACTGAAACTGTTTATCAAGGGCCCACCTTTGTCGATATCCTCAGCTGAACACGGGCTTCCATCGGGGGACTGGAGGTGGTCAGAGCTGAACGGGCGGAGCAACGGGCTGGAGTCACCACTCGAAGGTGCCTGTGTGTCTGTGTCACGTGTGTCCCCACTGCTGCTGTAGTGATGAGGAGGGAAGGGAGCACGGCGGCCATCTACCACATCCATGGTCTGTGGGGTCAGAGTGCGGAGGAGTTTGTGAGAGGTCATGTGTTCACTTCACAATGATCCTAAAACAGCAGATTGGTGGTCGTAGCGTTTAAAGAGAATCATAACTCAAGGGTCAAATTCAATCATGCATCTGTCATGCAGGCGTTGATGTGTCCTTGAAAGCCCAGATGACCTGTTGAAATGTTCCTGTGCAGTTGTTGTTGCTCCGAGATAAGAGCATCAGTTAT